AAAAAAAAAAAAAAAAAAAAAAAAAAATCACAGAAATCACTCCCCCCGGGGGAATGGTCATGCCGCAATCCCTTCTGCATTCTCCTTTCAGGATTTTGGGCACACATACACACACACATGCCTGGTGTTAGTTTAAGCCACCGGGTCCAGGACTTGAACCTCAGTCAACTACATGGGAGTTAAGCGACATAGCCATTATGTCATCTGCTGGTACCATTGTTAAATGACTGTTTCCATTTCTTTAAGGGTTACAGGTCTACTCAAATTTCCTATTTCTTCTAGAATCAGTTTTGGCAAACTATATTTTATAGGAAATTACCTTTTCTGTCTACATTTTAAATTTGCTGTCATAGAGTTCTTCTGGTATAATATTCTTTATTTTTCAATCTTTGCTGTACAATGATAGTTCACTTTCTTGTTCCTAACATGGTCTATTTTGTATTTTTTCTCCTTGATAAATCCTGTCAATTCTATCTTCAACAAGTTATGTTGTTACACATTCAAAGAAAACCAATTTTAGGCTTGTTGACCATCTCTATTATATCTCTGCTTTAATTTCACTAATTGCTGCTTTTTCTTTTTTAAAATTCTTTCCTATGATTTTAAGGTTGATGTTATTCTTCTTTTTACAAGGCCTGAATATGGATGCTTGCTTTATTAATTTTCAGTCTTTGTTCTCTTCTAATATACTAGGATGTTTGGAAAGTCATAACACATCTTTCTGTTTAAATTTTTAAAAATTTTTTTAAAAACTAACTTTCTCTCTCTCTCTCTCTCTCTCTCACGCTCTCTCCCTCCCCCTCCCCCCCTCCCTCCCTTCCTTCCTTCCTTCTTCCTTCTCTCACTCCCTCCCATCCTCTCTTCCTTTCTTTCTATTTGACCAAAGAGGGACAGAGTGAGAGAGAGAGAGATGGACAGAAAGCATGCTGCCAGATCCAGAACTTCAACTGTGGTCAGCCATGTGGGAGTCCAGCGCCCTTAACCACCATACCACCTGCCGGCCCCTGTAATATATTTTTTTCCTGAAAAAAAAAATGCATCATAACTTTCCTGATTACCCAATAAATTCACGTTTTTAAGGTTACATTATTCTATCCTCAGTGATTCTACAAGATATGATATTTTAATTATAGGTACATTTAAAATTTTTTTCCCTTTAATTTGCCAGAGGGTTCATTTGCTTGGGGCAGGGGAGAGAGAGAGGAAAAACAAAAGAGAGAGAGAGAGAGAGAGAGAGAGAGAGAGAGAGGAAGCACCCACCAGTGTGGCATGGTCACTCCACAGTCCTTTCTTCTATTTTGTGTCAGAATTTTGGGCACATACATACATGCTGTTGGCATGTCTCTCAAACTGCCACAGGATTCAACCCTTGGTCAGCCATCTGGGATTTGGCTCCCAGTGCATAGCATTTAAGCACTGCACTATGGGGCTATTCCAAGTTTTTAATTTTCTAATATCTGCTTATGATTTCTTTGGTTGATATTTAAAATTTTTAGAACTTTTTCTGGTAAACTGATATATCTTTTTTTTTTTACCCTGTTAAGTGAGGTGAAATGGTCATGCCACAATCCTTTTTCTACCATTTTTCCTGCCCATCAGGATTTTAGGCACACATGCATGTGCACCTGGCATGTTTTTGAAGCCACCAGGGCAGCATTTGAACTGTGGTTGGCCATGAGGGATCCATCTCCCTATGCGCAGGGCTTAATTGCTGTGCCTAAAGGGGCTGGCTTAAAAACACACATTTTATAAAGGTTTTATACTCTGGGGTCGGTTCCTTGCAGCTGAGGGAAATTGTGCTATACAGGTGCTCATGATAGAGGCAATACCCTGTAGAGGTAACTGCTCTCTACAAGTGGGAGACAAGAGTCATGAATGACTTGTCCTTCCTTTCTTCCCTTATGAACTTCCAGGGTACACAGTAATTTCCCTTTTTTTTTTTTTTTTTTTTTAGAGATTTTTGCTATAGAGAACGTGCGCTTGCCAGAGGGACAGAAAGAGACAGAAAGTGAGAAATCATCCCCCAGGTGACCTGGAGGGGTGAGATGACCACGTCCACAGTCCCTTCTCCTCCATTCTCCTCTTGGATTCTTAGGCATGCATGCACACGTGCCCAGCATGAGTTTTAAGCTGCCAGGTCTGGCACTTGAACCATGGTCAACTATGTGGGAGTACAGCAACGTAACCACGACACCATCTGCTGGTTCCTACACAGTAATTTCAAAAGGTTCTTTTGAAAACATGCTATAGTCTTGTGGGTTACACACTCTCTTACTCTCAGACTGTTTTCTGTCAAGTCCTTTTTCTCCTTCCTTTTTTTTTTTTACTAAGAGTGCAACCAAAACAGTGTTATCACAGGAATTTTTGCTTCAGGCTCCATTTTCTTTTTCTTTTCTTTTCTTTTCTTTTCCTTTCTTTTCTTTTCTTTTTCTTTCTTTCTTTCTTTCTTTCTTTCTTTCTTTCTTTCTTTCTTTCTTTCTTTCTTTCTTTTTTTTTTTTTGAGAGGTTTTTGCTATAGGCTGTGTGCGCTCCCCAGAGAGAGAGAGAGAGACAGAAAGCGAGAAATCACCCCCCAGGGCGGATGGCCATGCCGCAATACCTTCTCCTCCATTCTCTTCTTGGGATCTTGGGCACACACGTACACACGTCTGGTGTGAGTTTAATCCACCGGGTTCTGGACTCGAACCATGGTGGACTACATGGGAGTCCAGCGACATAGCCATTACGCTAACTGCTGGTCCCCAGGCTCCATTTTCTAACCTTTGCTAAAAGAGAAATTTTGGATCATCTGCATCTTCATGAATAACCATGCTATTCATGGGAGGTAAAAATTTACCTTTATTCTCTTAGGGTTTTTGCTTTGTTTTTATTTTTTACTTTTTTCTCCTCTGCCTGGGACTGAGAATTAAATTGTCCTAATACTGTGCCAACCTGTGGTATGATGATTAAGGTGACTGGATCATATATGGCTGCCTATGTGGTTCAAGTCCTGGACCTGGTGGCTTGACAAACATGCTGAGTGTGTGTGCACTCATGCCTAAAATACTGAAAGGAGGAAGAAATGTAGGAAAAGAAATTGTGATGTAACCATTCCTCAAGGGAGTTTCTCTCTGTCTCTCTCTCTCTCTCTCTCTGTTTTTCTCTCTCTCCAGTAAGTGCACATGTCCTTTGGCAAGTTAAAAAAAATTGTCATAAAACAGATCAATAGGAGAAAGCATACAAATTTATGTAATACAGGTTCTTTGTGGCACAAGTGCTTTCATAAGGAAATGAAGACCCAAAGACCCACAGTTCAATACTTATATTATGAATTAGACAAAGAGTAGTAAATTCTGAAAATGTAATAAAAGTAAAGGGACTTGAGCTAGGGTAACTGATTGGTGAGAAAGTAGCTAGGAAAAAGAATTTGTCTAAAGATACATGTTGGAGGGAGCCAGCAGTTAGCGTAATGGCTATGTTGCTGGACTCCCACGTAGTCGACCGCGGTTCGCGTCCTGGACCTGGTGGCTTAAAACTCACGCTGGACGCATGTGCATGCGTGTCCAAGATCCCAAGAGGAGAATGGAGGAGAAGGGATTGTGGCGTGACCATCCCCTCTGGGGGGTGATTTCTCGCTTTCTGTCTCTATGTCTCTCTGTTTGGCGAGCGCATGCGCCCTATAGCGAAAACCTCTCAAAAAAAAAAAAAAGGTACATGTTGGACAGATTTCCCTAGCCTCAACTTCCCATCCTTGATAATAAGAATTATATTGGGACAAACTCCGTGGACTGATGGTTAAGGCAGCTGGATCCCACATGGCTGGCGTGCAGTTGAAGTCCTGGACTCAGCAGCTTCAGAAACACCCTGGGCACATGTGCATGCATGCCCAAAATCCCTAAAGGAAATGGAGAAGAAGGAATTGCAGCATGATCATTCCCCACGGTGGGGATTCTTTTCCCTGTCTTTCTTTCTCTCTGACAAGTATATTTTCCCACTAACAAAACAAACAAATAAATAAATATACCATTCTTTGTTAAATAAAAATGATGGAGTCCATTGTTTTCTACTAAGCTCCTGCACTAGGCCCCAACAGACCAGTTCATAATGGAGTCACTCATGCTAAAATGCCGCATCATCAAACTGAAACTTTAAGGAAGCTGACAGAGTCCCAAATAGGCATCTTTTTTCCCTGAAAATGGGAGATTCCAGTCTACCCAAATCAGAGCTGTAAGGAAATCAAACTTACGCACATCTTATGGCTTTCTTAGGAATGTGAACTATGAGTCTCCTCTATCTCTGTAGCTAGGCATCTGAAACAAGGCACTTGACGTGGTCCAAGATGCTACTGAGATGTCACTGGGCCTTTTGTTTTATGAACATCCTTATTTTCTAAGTACATTTCTCCTTTATCTTCCATTAGTAGTTAAAACAATATTCCAGACTATCTCCATACTGTACCTAAGATTAAACAAAGTGATTCTAGTTAACCATGATATCATCCTCTCCCCTTAAAGAATTTGGCCAGTCACTACTGTACAAGACTCCTTGCTATGATTTTTCACTGTGGTTCTAATTCCGGACCTGGCGGCTTAAAACTCACACCAGGCATGTGTGCGTGTGTGCCCAAAATCCTGAGAGGAGAACAAAGAAGGGATTGTGGTATGGCCATCCCCTCTGGAGGAGGGGGGGTGATTTCTTGCCTTCTGTCTCTCTGCTTCTCTCTCTCTCTCTCTCTGTTGAATGTTCGTGCCCTATAGCAAAACCTCTCTACAAAAAGAAAAAAAAGGAGAAACAAATAGAACGAGTGGGACCAGCAGATGGCATAATGGTTATATTGGAGTCCTCCCACATGGCTGACTGTGGTTGGAGTCCTGACCCAGAGGCTTGAAACTCATACTGGGTGCGTGAGCATGTGTGCCCAAAATCTTGAGAAGAGAATAGAGAAGAAGAAATTGTGGTGTGGACATTCTCCCTAGAGGGTTATTTCTCTCTGGCGAGCACATGTACCTTATAGCAAAAATCTCTCTCTCTTAAAAAAAAAAAAAGAAAAGAAAAGAAAAGAAAGAAAAAAGAAAGGGCCAGCAGGCGGCATAGTGGTTAAGGTGCAGAATCTCACATGGCTGACTCCTTGGTTCAAGTTCTGAACCCAGTGGCTTGAAGAACACTTGGGTACATTCATGGCCAAAATCCCAAGAAAGGATTGTGGGGTGGCCATCCCCCCCCCAGGGGGGGGTGATTTCTCACTTTTCCTCTCTCTGTTTCTCTACAGTGAGCACATGTGCCTGATGGCAAAGAAAGAAAGAAAAAAAGAAAAGGAAAAGGAAAGGAAAGAAAAGAAAAAAAAGAAAAAGAATGGAGATCACAGTGATCTTACACGTGCTATTTTTCATGTCTTTAATTCAAAATAGTCAATATCCCACAACAGCATATTTAGGGTCACGTATTCCTAACTCCTTCACTATAAGTAGATTCTGTTTCTAGATTCCATTGTAGAAATTGTTTGCAAAGAAAAAGTATTTAGTTTTCTCAGATAATTGGAAAAGAAAAGAGGCAAGCAACATATAAATGAAGTACTTATTAAACCAATAGAAGACCAATGGACCTCATCAGCAATAGGAAAACTTCCCAGGGGCTCGAATATGGAAGAGTTAATAAAGTTACAACACAAAATAAGAGACTTGACTCAAAAGAACCTGCAGTGTCATAGTCCACAACAGAGGATTTAGTTTCATTAAAACACCACCATTCATCTTATTAAAATAATATTAATTTAAATGGTATTAGTATTATAGTTTTATTGTTTTAGAGAAAGTATAAGCCTCAGTTTAAACTGAACCAGATGTGGATTTGGATACATTTTAAAATATTATAATAAAAATAATTATGTCAACATTAGTGGGATGTCCTGGATTTTCTTTTTAAAAGGGGTCATTGTTTTCTAAAATTTGAGAAACTGCTTTGCCATCATTTCCCCCCACTAGATAACTGTTATTTGGGGGCTCCCCTGGCTAGGAGGAGCCTTCTCCCCATAGCCAGCTGACAGTTTAGAGCTGCTTTACAGGCGCTCTGGGAAACCATTGTAATGGACCTCCGGGCTTTCATCACCAGGGGTCCCAGAGGCGAGAAGGGCGGGGGAGGACCACAGTGTTTCCCGAATTCATGGTAGTTGTCCTACATTTCACTTAACGAGCTCTTCATCGTGCCGCTTTCTGTCCCAGACTATTCAAAACCCAATCAAACTCAGATCCGCACCCACCGAGCCGGCTCCTTCAGCCCCGCGGCGACCCCTCCACCAGTGTCCCCCTTCTAGAGCTGTTTCCCAAGGTTGCCTGATCTTAGCCATTCGTTAAAAACACGGACTTCAGGCTCGTTTTGGTTTTGTTTTGTTTTTTTCAAATTCTAGATGTCTAGAGATAGGCCGAGGGATCTGCATTTTAACAGGTGTCCGAGGAAGGTCTTACTGGCAGGCAAGTTTGAGAAGCCTGGCTCTTGGGTTTCTTCAGTCCGCACGCATCCTCCCGGGAGAACAGCTCACCGCCTGTGACCCGACCCGTCGCGGAGCGAGTCTGCGCTGGTCAAGCTTCGCCAACGCCAGGCTCCCCAGCCGCGGTGGCCGGTTGCCGGGCAACCAGAAGCTCCGGGTCTGGCCGTGACCCGCGGGAAATCTCGCGAGGTCGCAGGACACGGTCTCTGTGACGCGGCGGGCGAGGAGTGACAGTGACCACTGCGAAGACCCTCCGTGGACCTGTTAGCGTGAAGAAGTTTTGAAGCATCCCTACTTCCACCATTTTAGTGGGCCAAACGTTAGCCAGAACACATTTTGGCGGACACCATATCCCCTTACTGGATTGTTCTGTCATCAGCTTTGACGGTTTCGGTGCCCAGTAAGCACCTGTTCATAGTAACCGGCCGGCGCTGGAACTATGACCGCACTCCGCCCTTTCCTGGGAATAAACTCCAACCCCATAGGGTGGCGTTTAAGGCCATTATCATGACCCTCTCACCTCTTACTACTTGCTCCCTGCAGTCCAGGGTTCTCCAGTATGCTGCTTCTCTGCGCCCCTCATGAAATTTCCCCTCTCTTCTGCAGCCGTTTAGGCTACAGATTTTCCTCTCTCTCTCTCTCTCTCTCTCTCTCGTTTTTTTGTTTATTTATTTTTGCTATAGGGCCCATGCGCCAAAGAGGAGATTGAGAATGAGAAATCTCTCCCCTAGCAGTCTCCCCTCCCCCGGGGAAGGGCACAACGCAGTCCTCTCGGGATCTTGGCCATGCTCATGTGGACAGGGTGATTTCCAAGCCTGTGTCTGGGACTCATCCCCAGTTGGCTAAGTGGGAATCAGAGCCTTAACCTCAATGCCACCTGCTCCCCTACTTCATTCTTACTTTCCTTTTTAAAATTTTTATTTTATTTCATTTACTATTATTATTATTCAATTTTATCAGAGAGAGAGGGGAAAATGAGAAAGCAAGCCGCCAAGTTTGGGAATCGAACTGCTGCGGAGGGCCATGTGGGAGTCCAGTGCTGGCCTCCTTATTTCCCTTTTTAAGATTCAAAGAGTCAGCTCGAATTAGTACATCCTACCTTATGCTTTCCTGTATGCTAAATAGATGCTCCTTTCTGGCCCTAAAACAACTGGGTGTGTTACCTTTAGCATTGCACACTACTATATTTTTGTTACTTACCCTATCCTGTGTGGATGGCATAGAGGGAGGGGAGAAGTTGAAGATATTTCCCAGGTGTTAGCTATGATAAAGAAACAATACTGGAGAAAGAGGAGGATTGGCGAGTAATTTGAGGGAAGTGGAGATGTTTGGTTTATATATTTTTAAGTGTGAGATGAGATAGTTTTAATAGTCGCTGATATAGAATTAACTATTAAAACCACCAGGACATAGTTGGTGGTGAGGGAGAAAGTGAGAGAAGTAATAGGTCAATAGCTATATCAACTAATTTGAATGAAAATGAGAAAAAAATCTGGGACCAGCACATGGTGTGGTGGTTAAGGCGCTGAACAATCCCACATGGCCGATCACCGTTCAAGTCCCAGACCTGGTGGCTTGCTTTCTCACTTTCTCTCTCTCTCTCTCTCTTTCTCTCTCTCCCTCTCTCTGGTCAAATTAAAATGAATGAATGAATAAAAAATAAATAAAAAAGAGAAAAAATCTGGTAGAGGTGAGGGTTTTCTGAGAAGAATAAAAAATAATTCAGTGATTCGGAAACTAATAATTCATAGTCAGACATGGAAAGAAATTTAAGGAGCAGATACCTAACAATAACAAACTGCATAAGGAAAAGAAGTAAAAAGATGTTTAAGGTAATATGACAAAAACTATAGCAGGAGTCAGATTCTCCTCTTAATCTATATTGTGTGCTATTCATTTAGGGGCAAAAGTTTTAGCAACATAGGCAAGACTGACCCATTGCTGTTCGTGGCATTTGGTTAACTTTTTTGTAACATTACTTTGCTAGAAATTATTTGCCCATGCCTCATTGAAAATCAGTTGTTCTTGAAATCTTTTTGAACAATTTTATCTTTATAAAAAGGAATATGATCTCATTTGTGGTAAAATTATATAAAAGGATATATAAATACAGATAGACACCAAAATATTTAATAGTGTTTATTTTTTGGTGGCATTATGACTTTTTCCCCCTTTTTTCAGTAATCAATTTTTTAAATTATAAAATTCTATTTTAGAAGTTCATTTTGGATTCTGCTCTTTGTGGAATTGGAAATCTTGTTCGGACTGCTGGTCCTTAAAATGGTTTGAATTACTAATTTTTTTAATGCAACAAGTTAAGTGTAAGAAATTTTTTTCTTTCTGAGATGTGAAATATAATTCCTGTCTAGTGGCACACAATGTTAAACAATCGTCTGTGCATTTTCCAGTGTGGCAGAAATTTGGCAGACTATGAGAAATACTTGTCTCCAGAACCACATTTGTAGATTCAGCATAAAATACTCTAAGATTTACACTTTGACAGATGTTGGGAAATTTTTATTTGTAAAAGAAAATGTGAAGTTTGAAAGCCATTTTTAAAAGGCAGTTTTGGGAAAATGATGCTAAAAAGCACATTTTAAAAAGACTCAGTTTCTATGTAACTTTAAATATAAACACTTTTTATTTCGTGTATCATTCTGCCTTTGTCCATTAGTATGTATTTCTTGATTTTCCAGAGTATGGTATGTACTGCATAACACTGCTTGCAGCACTAAGCAAACACTTTAATATTTATTACCTGTCATTGAAAGATCAACAAATTAAGCAACCCAGACATGTATGTTATCACAAAACTCCATACAGAAAAATTAGCATTTATTAGAGTTAATGCCTCTTGTTTTGATCTTGTACACTGGTAAATATTAGTGATATGGTAGGCAGACTTGATGGCCTCAATAATCTAGCCTCCTAGTATCTATAATCCTCTCCCCTTGAGTATGGGCTAGACCTAGTGATTTGTTTTAGCCAGTAGAATAAAACAAAGTTAATGGAATGTCATTTACATGGTAAAGTTACCAAAGATTATGGCTCTCCCTTGCTAGTAGACTTTCTATTGGATTTTGGTTTATATTCTTTGATAAAGCAAGCTGTCATTTAGGAGAGCCCACATGTCAAAGATCTGATGGTGGTCTCTAGCCAATAGCTATTGAGGAACCAAGTCCCTCAGCCCAATGAGAAATGAAATGCCAACTATTACTGGCTTAACTGGAAAGCTGACCCTTTTTCAGATGAATTTTTAGATGAGACCTCATCCCTCTTCAATGCCTTGATGACAGTCTTGTGAGAGATGCTGAATCAGAGGACCTTGTTCTCTTATGATATCTGTGAAATAATACATGTGTGTTATTTTAATGCACCTGGTTTTAGGATGATTTTCAATCTAACAATAATTAATACAGAGAATAATGGAAAATTCCCTTAAGGAAGGTTTGTTCAGAAATTTGGGACATGATTCTCATTTTCTTAAGATGTTCTGATTGGAAGCTCAGTGGAGAGAAATGAAAATAACTACAGGAACTGGTAGCTGGAACACAGCCCCCTCTCTCCCTCTCTCTCCCTTTCTCATTTGTAGAAGAAATAAATAAACAGAAACTTAAACTAAACTTAACTCATTTCCATCCTGCATAAATCTGCTATGCTAGTTTCTTTCTTGCCCACAGTTCACCCTGTCACAAAAAAAGAGCCTGAAAACCATCTCCAAAACTCTCTCACATACCAATACCCTCACAATCAGTCACTAAATTAAGACCATGGAATGATTTTCAAATTCAGCTGTCTCTCTACAGCCCCTATCATTATCCAGGAGGATGTGAAGGACTTCATCAAATTCTGTTTTTATTTTTTTAGAGTTTTAATTTTAAGACACAAAGACCTTTTCAAGTTCTGTGTTAAAAGTTCTATTATATTGAACCAGAGAGTGAAAGAGAGAGAGAGAGAGAGAGAGAACTCCTAGAAGAGGTGTGACCAAGCCAAAATCCTTTTTCCTCTATCTCTCCATCCCATCAGGATTTGGAGCACGCACGCGTACTTGCCTGGCATGTTTTTCAAGCTGCTAGGCTGGATTAGAACTGTAGCCGGCCATGTGGTCCAGCCTACGTGCACAATGCTTAACCACTGCAGTATTGGTTGGGCTGGCCCCGGCAGGCCCTAGACTCTTCTACAGTGGTTCACGTCAATCAAGTTGTAATAAATTTAAGACACATGAGATGTGACTGAAAATTAAGAGATCTCAGCTGAAAATCACTTTCAATACCTTAAAGACACATGTCATATAGTTATCTTCTAGTAAAAAGATATTTTTGAACAGTATTTTGTAAACTTTGCCAATGATGTTCTATTGATGATATAAGAAATATTATATCTTTATTTCTGATACACTTATTGTCAATAGATTCTAACAGTTCAGTTTAAGTTTTCAGGGAGTATTTAAAAGAAAGGACTTATAATTTTAGAAAATTTTAGGTTGGGTTTCTGGAACAGTTTCTTCTTTGTGTTTTAAGAATTTTTTTTAAAGTGTTTTTTTACTAGAGGTAAGGAACCATTTTTTTTTTCCCCTAATAAAGGCTTTAGACTTTATCAGCCAATAATAAGTTCAGCAAAAGTTTAATTAATTGGTGATGGATTGAGGTAACAGTGAAACTCAGCAATATAATATACTCTGTCTTCATGTCTTTGAAAATAACTTGTTTAAATAAGTGAAAACATGTATCTGTATACCTCTATTTAATTGATTCATTTTCTGATTTCTGTCTTTTTTTTTTTTTGGTCACCTTCTTTGAATAGAGTTCTCTTTCATGCTTGTTTTTTTGTTTGGTGTCGTAAATTTTTTGCCATATGGTATGTGTACTTGCCTGGAAGAGAGACAGAGAGAAAGAGGGAAAGACACGACTCCTGAGAGGGGATGGCCACACCGCAATCTCTTCTCTTCCATTCTTGTCTTGTCTCTTCCATTTGGGGTACACATGCACATGTACCTGGCATGTTTTCCAAGCTGCCCTATCCAGGACTTGAACCATAGTACGTCAAGTGGTACCCAGTGCCTTAATCACCACACCACATTCGGGCCCCTTGTGCATGTTTTTTAAAATGACTTTTTTTTTTTTTTTTATTTACGCAAATGTGAGGTC